ATAAATAAATAAATAAATAAATAAATAAATAAATAAATAGAGTACAAAGAAAAATAAAGATAAAAAAATAAAGTATTGCTGGTTCTGTAATGTTTGCTCTTCTAGATAAAGAAAATTTTCTTTTAAGATATCTGTGACACACAGAAATGTGATAAAGTATTTATTTGTAAACAAACTGAAGTGTTTAACTTTTCTGTCTACCTAAACCCTCTGAAATTCAAAAACTCTTAAGTGAGTATTCTTTCTTTCATGGCAATTACAGTTACTTGCATAAGTTCAATAAGAATATGTTCTCCCTGAAACAGGATACCATTGGAAATACTGGTCATTTTACCAAGTCTTTGACTGGAATGTTATTTGAGAGACATGCATAGATTCAGATATGACCATATAGCTTTAAGGAACGAAGATTGACTTTTTTGAAGCATCAAACCAAGAAAGCCCCTTGGAAATGTTGGCCTGATACCTTGCTTAGAATTCCCATCAGCTTTACCAGGTGAGTAAAGAATGTCACTTTGTGGCAGGTGCAGGGACCTCAGCATGTTTAGGGACCTTGAGAAGAGGAATTCGTCTAAATCAGCAGGTATTTCAGGCATGTTTGATGGCAAGTACTTCTCTTGGTTTCTGGCCTGGAGAGGCTACTAAACATTTAATCTAGATTCTTTATAAAAAGTTTCAGCAAAGCAAATTGTGGAAGATCTATATGAACAATTGCTGTTCTTGCTGAGCTTATGTAAATAATTATGCCAAGTTAAAACTTGACTTGTTTTGCAAATGAATTAGTCTTGATTTGGCTATCTCCCTAAAAGGGAGAAAAGGTATGCACCTTTATGGATGTTAAATTTTAGCTTTGATTGTGTATAAATGTTTGCCTAAACTGAACAAACTGAAGGTAAACTTCAGAAAATTTGTCACAATAGCACAGGTATGGACAATCTTCTTGCTTGTTATTCCGTGGGGATAATAACAGGACCCCACGGGCATATGCGTATTTAAACAACTGAAAAATGGGATAGATTCCCCCAACAATTGTATATGAAAAGCCTTTTTTCACCATAGATCTATCAATAGATAAAGACTATAGTGCTTTATTAAATTACTTGCTTGAGGTCGGGTTAATTCATAAATTTCTAAGTGAATATGCAAACCATGTCTTCCCTAAACCTGATCTGACAGTTGCTAGAAACCCACCGCATATCAACCCAGGAAGCATGGTTCATTTAAAGGATTAAAAGTTTAATACAGCAGGGGATTTAATTCCAAAATGCAAGGGCCCCTACCCATTCTTATTATGTATTCCCACAGCATTAGAGTTAGAGGGACACTCTTCATGGGCTCATATCAAGAATTAAACTTGTACCTCCTTCACAGGAAATCAATGAACAAACTAATGTGCCTTCTTATTCCTGTGAACCTCAAACTTCTCTTCAAACAAAAATAAAGGCTGTACCTTTCTTTTCCATTTTCCTTTCTCCAATTTATCCTAATAATTCCTTCTTACAGTGGGCCATTCAAAAGGATCACTACAGACATTTGAATTACAAACCAGAAAACCCCATCTGATTCCTCCTACCTGTTCCAACTCCATCCGAAGACCCTTCAAGCCTGACATCTAAGAATCTTCTCATTGGCAGACACTGGGTTTGTAATTTACTCTATCCATTAACCTATATTTTTCTTGTTTCTATAAAAGTACCTCTTATTAATTACCTAATCGCTTACTAAACAGAACAGAGTCTGGGGGTAGTCTTATCAGTAGCCTAATCTCCAGGAATTCCCTATTGTCTTAATGTTAATGCTTTGCTAGAGAGAAAAACAACTTTAGCTTGACAATAGCTAGGCCTCTGGTAATCTGTGAGTTTTCTTTAGGATATGAAAATCCCTTTAAGAAACTTCCTCTTGACTTTATCTCCCCCAACTCCATAGTATATAACCAGTGCAGCTTTCTGCCCATGGGTGCTGTCCCCGTGCTTTAATAAAATCACCTTTTTTTGCACCAAAGACATCTCATGAATTCTTTCTTGGCTGTCAGCTCTGGACCCCCACTACCACTCCAAAACCCAATCAGTTGGACTGGCCTGAGAATTTCCAGAGGCCTCCAGAAGTAGGGCAGTGCACTGGGCCATGATGCGGGGACAGGGTGATGAAACCTGAAACTACTCTGGAATTGAATATGATTTAGTTTTTTTTTTACTTGGGCTCATCATTTCTCATACTTGAAGTTTGTTTTGCCTCCAGTGGCTATTTTCTGTGTCCTGGGGAGCGATGGATCAGAGGCCAGGAGCAGGAGGATTAGTCCTGGGGTGTGGCCTGAGGAAGAGAAAAATATTCCTCTCTAGATCTCTAGTTGGCATTAATCTTCAAAAGAAGCCTGAGTCGGGGAGAGATTGGAGATTCTAGTCTGGAAACATGTCTTCTCCCAACACTCTCTACTTCCTGTCAAACTGTCTCAGGATTCTTGACCTCAGTGTCCAGGGTGACTGGTCTCACCGTTTCCAAGAATCAAGAGGTAGACACACAATAAAATGAGCAGCAGGCAAAAGTTTATTAGAGTATAAGATTAGAAAGTAAGATTGTATGAAAGCCCTTTTTGCAGAGAGGGAACATTCGAAAGTGAATGCCTGTGAACTATAGGCAAGGGACTTTGTTTTATAACGTTCCAGTCAACCCCCCTTCCCTTCTCCCTGTTCCTTCTCAAGTTCTACCCTTATTGCCTAGGTAACTCTAAATGCTTAGTTATTCCTTTTTAATTAGCTCGTTTCCATTGTTTGAGGGGTAGTCTGTGGTATGAGGGGTAGTCTATGGCCATACTGTTACTTGTGGGTCATACGTTTTATAGTCTACTAACTTATTTTTAGTTAGGTCTTTTGTCAAGTTCCTGAGGGGATTCTGAGGGGGAGTAAGTAGTGTCAGTTACATTCTTTTTTTTTTTTTTTCTGAATGTTTTTATTTATTTTTGAGACAGAGAGAGACAGAGCATGAGCAGGGGAGGGGCAGAGAGAGAGGGAGACACAGAATCTGAAGCAGGCTCCAGGCGCTGAGTGGTCAGCACAGAGTCCAAGGTGAGGCTCAAACTCACAGACTGTGAGATCATGACCTGAGCTGAAGTCGGATGCCCAACCGACTGAGCCACCCAGGCTCCCCAGTGTCAGTTACATTCTTAAGAAAAACCTTAAGCCTGAGGGAGTTTGCTTTTGGTCAGAAGCTCCCAGCATGGTTTTAAAATATGTGTTTTTCTCTACTTGGGGACCTCAGGTCATAACCTTTCCCTTTCTGGCTATTTTACCCTAAGTTTTCCTGTCCTAAAATCTCAGGTCATAGTTTTGGGAGGGTCTTGTCTTTTCTCAGTAAGATCTTTAATAATGACGGGCCCTTTTTCCAGAGCCATTATTTTTATTTGCTAAATTCATTTTGGAATGTTCGTGTCCACACCATGGGCTAATAGTATGAAAGCCTCAGTCCTCTATTGTCTGGAAGGCTTATAAAATTGAGTACTTGAACTTGGGGTAGATGGGATGCTATTACTCAAAGGCATGCTTTGTTTTGCTCTTTTGGCAAATTTCCATACTCTTTCAAATGGGAAAGAGCTGAGCTCTCTAAAGTACTGTTAATGAGAAAAAATGAGACAAATTTTCTTCCCAAATTTATTACAAAAATTTTTTATTACAAGGGTTTAGCAGAGCAGAGTCAGACTTTGCCATCTCTCTTGTGAAACCTCAATAATTTACAAAATTAAGTTAATAAATATAAACTAGGTTTGGGTTTTTTTTTTTTTTTCCAGCCATCTCATGCATTCCTAAGACACAAAGAGGAGAAAATCCTATATCCATATGTAGTACAAAATCAGAAATTTTTCAAATGCCATTTAACTCTCTGTAGGATTTCCCTAGACAGAACAGGTAATCACACTATTTCACCTTTCTCTAAAGATTTAAGAAACATAAATAGATCCATAAATAGTTCATATAAATAAAAGTTTTACCTTTTAAATAATAAATTCCCAAGTCTGAAACCTTGTCTTAAATAAAATACAAAATAAGGCATGTAATTCATTAAAATGGAATCTTCTACCCCAAAGTTATCTCAGGGTCTGTTAAATACACAAATAACTTAAAGCCCTTAGAAAAGCAAACAAAAAGTAAATTGTTACTCAGTCAAAACTCCCATCTTTAGGGAGAGGGAATGATGGTTCAGATTCTATCTCTGGACAAAAGTGTTACCTCTGAAACTTCAATGGATGAACTAGTTTAAGTTTTGCTCTTTCGGCAAATTTCCCTCATGAGTTTGGTCAGAAATGGGGCTGGGTCTACTCCCCAGAAAGGCTAACTAGTCTGGGAGCTGGGGCTAGACAGGAAACTCTTATACCACGTGGCGAACAATGGGGGTGACACAGGTGCAGCCCACAGTCACCAGCATCTTCTGCAGCCGGAAGGAGTGGGGACAGTGCCGAGACTCCCTTCGCAGAACCAAGATCTCCTGCTGGATGGGGACGGAGTTCATGTGGTGGTCTTCCTTCCCTTCAGTATTGACACAGCCCCAGTGGAGGCACTTGGCCTCCCAGATCACAGAAGGGTATCTCTCAGGGTCCTCATTCCGGCTGCAGGGAGACAAATGCAAGGAAGAAAGTGAATACCTGGTAAAGCAGCAGGAAGGAAATCAACTAGGGATAGACAAAGGGAGGCAAATTCACAAGGTGACAAATTACAGGCACTGCAAATTCCCTGAGTGCTGCCAGTCTGAAAACAGTTTGGGGAAAAGTTAGATTTTTAAGCACGTGAAATGTTAAGGAATAGCATGATCAGTGTTTCCCAGTTTCTTTGAAGAATGAACCAAATAAGATAGGCTGAGACTGCAGAAAGGATTTAAGTTTGATATAAAGGATGATTTCTTAAGGTAAATCTGATAGACAAAGACCAACGGAATCATTTAGAAATAAGATAGCCATTAATCTCACTTCATGAAGTCTATCTTTGAAACAGGGAAGGCATCAAAATTTTATCTGACAGCACAGTCATGGAACAGAATCCAGAGCTGACTTGAAGGGCTGGAAACAAAAGGTGAAGCCCCTCTAAACTCTTCTCCCCCTCTCTCCTCTAGTTGAGTGAATGACCTGCTTTGACTTTTGAACTATTCTTAGTAATGGGAGGAGGAGAAACCCCACAGTCAGGTGAATCTATAGGCACCATGTAACTGAGGCTTATTTGCATAAACTCGAATCACTAAAAAACATTTTGTATCTAATCTTTATGGGGTCAAATATTAGATGTACTAAAGATCAGCAAATATAGGTCTATTGGTGATATAAAACAAAACTATCTAACTCAAAAAGGGGTGGAAATACCCACCATGTTATTTCCCCCACTGGGATTCAAACTATCTTAACCTATTGCTAATATGACCAAAAAAAAGGAAAAAAAAGGTATAAAAATCCAAGTTAATTACTAGTAATTTTCAACCAATCATTTAAATGGTAGTTCTGGTAAAAAGAATTTAAGCATTAATTTTCTATGATACATATCTATTTTTTAAAATAAATAAACAATAGGGGCACCTGGGTGGCTCAGTTGGTTAAGCGTCCGACTTCGGCCCAGGTCATGATCTCACGGTTCGTGGGTTCAAGCCCCACATCAGACTCTGTGCTGACAGCTCAGAGCCTGGAGCCTGTTTCAGATTCTGTGCCTCCCTCTCTCTCTGCCCCTCCCCCACTAGCACTCTGTCTCCCCCTGTCTCAAAAATAAATAAACATTAAAAAAATTTTTTTTAAATAAATAAACAATAGACTTAGGGTGTCCTAAATATTAGAATAAGGACCGCTATTAATTTGGGTGGGTTTTTGGTGTCAGTGACAATGAAATCTAATGGATAGGTGTTCTCTGGGAGAGGTGGTCCTGCGCTCTGTCAAAGAAGTCTATAGAATGTCATTTGAGAATCGTTGCTTTGCACAATGGCCCTTCCAAATCTGACTCATGATTCTAAGTGAAATCATCCTCAAGGTGATTTAACTGGAAGTCTGATGCATAAAAGATAGAACAATACAGAGATTTTTATCTGGCGCCATTACGTACTGCAGGCTCCATGGTGAAGTGGATCGGCGGTAGTAATCCAAGGGCCTTCTGGAACTTTTATTCCCGTTAAGAATATTCAAGTTGACCTTCACATGCTGAGGAAAATTCTTGTCCTCGGTAGTTGGGCATCCTGGATTTTGTGGGAATGCTATTCCTGTCCTCACTATAGCCATCAGACAGAGCAGCGGCAGCAGTGATGGGAACTGAATGGGAAAGAAGAGAGAGGTGGATAGCATGAGAGAGATTGGATTAGCATGTGGTTTTTGTTAACAAATTGTGATGATTATTGTGTTCCTAATCATAGAGAGCATACTATGTTCTAGGACAATCTATAATAAATTTTCAGATCAGTTAGATGAAAAACTGGTATTATGACCAAAGGTTAAGGTTAAGACCATGGAGTGTTTACCAGTCTTGAACAGTCTTCCTTGGACTCAGAAGAGACACATGTTTTTACTGATTGGCAGTAATTTTAGTAAAAAATGGCAAGTCATCACGCTGTTGGTACATGCATCTCTGTCAGGTCACTGGGGTAATAAAGGCCTTGATTTTCTGGGAGGAAATTGTCTCCTGAATGATTGTTCTCTGTCCTAGCATTCTGTGAAATCCTATGTGAAGTCCAATGTTCCCCTTAAAAGAAAGGGCTGTAGAAAAATGTGTGTGGTATCAGTATTCACCTGAGAAATGCTGGGCAGAGACATTCAACGCCAGACTGGCCCCCGCTCCCCCTTACGTTTTCTTATGTATATTTTCCAGTTTTTCTAAATGCACGTATATTGATTCTGTAATCAAGTTGGGTTTCAAAAGATGCTTTAAGTTAAATATTTCAAAAATGTAAAGACTATTTGCTCTGAACCACAGTAACATGTGTCTCTATTAGAATAGATAGGTTTGGTGTATGAGACTATGGTGTAATAACAGGATAATGGGAAGGAAATTCAGTCCTGCAACTAATTAAATCCTCAAGGATGGCCTTCCATTTTATTTTGGAATAAGAAAAATGCTGTGGCAGAATTCTATCAAATCCCTTGTACTGAGAAAAGCAGATTTATAATAAACATTCCTTCTCACCACACAGCATCATGTGACACTTCTCATGTGGTTTAGCCCCAATCTAGCTATCTTTCAGTTTTAATCTCATCTTTCAAACTGATGTGTATCAGTCCTTGAAAATGCTATAAAGTGGATGAGTATCTACCAAAGCTTTCATTTCCTATCCTATATATGCAGTATATCTCCATGGTTAGAATCCAGAATTTCATGGCTGCATTCCAGAAATATTATCTGGTCCAAATAAGCAAGAGCATTGTATGTCAGTGCAGGACTCACCATGGATGAAGTTGTCCCAGGAGCCATTGTAGTTTCTTCCACCTAGCTGGAGAAGGATGAGATTGTGCCTGCTGGGAGATGGATAAAATGTAGCGCGAGCTTCTCCCTTTTTATAGGACTTTGCTCCTCTGTGGTCACCTACGTTGGTGTGTTGAAATGGGTTCAAGGGTGACACCATTTTAGTGAAAAGTTCCGTCCTCAAATGAGGTCAGAGAAGAACCTCCCCTTCATGACGGGTAATACCTCAGAAGGAAAACGGAAGGGCAAAAATTCATGTTTCGAAAGATTCGTGTCTTCTCTTTGGTCTTTAAGGAACTGTTACTTGTCAGAAGCTGAGCAAAGATGCTTTACTTATGAGCTGATATCATTTATTTATGGCCATATATGAAGCTGCCGTAAGAGCTATGCTTTATTTTAATGGCTCATGGGAAAATAAATGTTTGACACAACGTTCAAGACTTCTGGTATCATGTACCTTGCTTTCCCATTTGATAATTCCTTTCCTCACCAGATTCACTGCCAGATATTGTGGAGGCCATTGTAGAAACTACTCAAGGTCTCACCATATAAACAAACAATTGAAAAATGAATAACTAATTTAATGATAGGAGGATATATTATTTCATTGCATTAACACCTGCTTTGTTGAATGTTTACTCTGATCAGGAAACTAATAATTAGGTTCAAGAGACATGAGCTTTACTATTAAAGGCATGTCTAACACTGCATGTTACCAAGCAACTTGTTAACTTGTGTAATTCTTCAGGAGGAGTGAGATGGATATGAAGGAGTGGAGGAGTATAGCCGTACAAAGGAAGGAGTTGAGAATGAAGATAGGGCCTGAAGAAAGGTGATGGAAGTAGAGATAAGGACGGCAATGGAGAGTAGAGAATGACAGGAAGGGAAAGGAAGAAAGAGGAAGGATAAAAATGAACGAGAGAAGGAAATGGTTCTCTCCTTCCTTTTCTCTTCAGTCTAAATTAAATGACTTCGATTTCAGGTCCTTGAGAATAGCTCTCCCTTAGGAACAATAAAGACTAGCATGGGGATGATAAAGATGAGGGGTCAGGGGGTACAGATGTGTCTGGCCACATGTCATCCTCTCTCTGCCCCCTCTACCCAGTGAAGTGAATGATGGCTCCCAGGTCCTTGCAGCTGGTATCTCATATTATACATGATAATGTAGCAGTGCTCACTAGCAGTTCTAACTCAACAATTGGGGTATATAAGAAGTCTGCTGGACCTTGGGCCTGTTTGCCCTGAGATCCATTCCTCCTTGCTCTGCTCTATTCTGTGTCTCAGAGGATTGACCCCAAAAGCTGTTTTCTTACTCTTCTATCAGCTGATTTCCAACTAGATTCAGCCAAGGGGAAATTGGACAGAAGAGTGGGAACGGGGAGAAGGAAAGGGGGGAAGAACAAAGGGTACTTACTATGTCTTCTGGAGCAGTGCTTGTTCTTTTTATCCCTCTAGCCTTAGGATGGTAGTAGCCTCTAATATCAGTCTCCGTTATTATGGTAACCGGTTCCTTGTATTAAATTTCTTCTATTTCAAATGCCTGAAGTCACTTCTGTTTTCTTGGTAGACCCTAAGTGATCAGTGAGGGAGGCCACGAGCAGCTGATCTCAGTGGCAACAGTAGATGAACTTGATAAGTGAAGCAGATACAGATAGAAGTGGAAGATATAGCTTCTCCTGATTTCCCTAGTTCTGGTGTTGATATCATCTATTCTTGAAAGCATGGAGTCACTATGAGCTTTCTAGTTCATCATCTATATGTGATCAGGTAGCAGTCTCAGAAGCTGCTGTGTCTTTCACATCTATTCCCTATTCTCAGAACTGCTCCATTCCTAACTTAGACTCTTACCCACTTGAACCATTTTAATAGTCAACTTTGCTCTTCCCAATTGCTGCTTTATACCCATCTTCAACATTCCTGCAGTAATCCTCAAAGCATGGTTCTGATAGTGCCTTTTCTTGTCCCATTAGCTTGCATACAGAACAAAATACAAAACCTTGAGCATTTCAAGTAGTATTTGAGTTAGTGTTTGAGATGTGCAAACTTTGTAGCTTTGCCTCCCACCATGCTGTATGAACTGGGCTCATGGGGTCCCGATTGTCTTCCTTCTAATGTCTACATGCGTTTTTGTTAAGGTATTATCTCTAAAATGCTCTTCTCAACCTCAAAATGTTGCTAGTCCTTCCGGAACCTGTTCAAATGTGTCTTGTAGGTCTGGAGGTCTTTCTTGATTTCCTTAGTTGGAATGAACAACTCCCATAACATATAACTTATATATACATCTCTAGTCATTTTTGCTTCATTTTGTACTGTGTTTTATTTGGCTGGAGAAAGTATTGGAGAGCTGCCTCCAATACTTCATTGGGGGAAAGCTGACTCTAGCTATTCTCCCTACTTCCTGCCTCCAATGAAATCGAGCCTGCGTGCCATCATTTAAAATAAGAATGGGGAAACAGGAGCACCTGGGTGACTCAGTCGGTTGAGTGTCTGACTCTTCATTTCAGCTCAGGTCATGATCCCAGGGTTGTGGGATCAAGCCCCGCATAAGGCTCTGCTTTGAATGTGGTGCCTGCTTAAGATTTTCTCTCCCTCTGACACTCTCCCCTGTTCTCATGTGTGCTCTCTCTCTCTCTCTCTCTATAAAAAAAAAAAAAA